TCGGGGGGGGGGGGTGGTGTGGCTTGACCAGACCGATGGAGGGACTTAAGCCCTGCCCTCCTCACCACTGGCGCCGCCCCTGGTTCGAAGCACGAATTTCTGTAGACCAAAGCCAGTACCGTTACGATTTTCAATCGTGCGCGAAATCTACTCACGAAGTTTAGGGCTTGTAGAGTGCGTTTTGTCGTCGAGCGGAAAGCATTTTTAATCTGAGTGGACTCTCTTCTGTTATTACACTCTTTACCGTCGGGTACATTTTTATTACACAATGGCGCACCTCAAAAGGGCGTTAAACCAGATAAATCTGGAGGTACGGCTGGATGGGAATAAATAGTAACATACAATATAAATCAAGATAGTCGTGAATACTGTTAAATCATCAAAAAATATGATGTATATCAGGTCCTTTTATTTAACACTATATTTACCTCCCTTTTATCATTTGATTCATATATATATATATATTATTTATTTTTAAAAAAAGAACAGTAAACAAAACATTGTCAAGTATTTGGTAAGTTAAAATTTGTATCAAGTGTATGTCAAATGATACAAATAACAGTAGTAATAACAGGGATCCTGATGAACATATTTAATAATGTTTGTATAGATTTTAATATTAGTGGTCAAACTGCTTATCATCAAATTACATCAATTAGGAGAGTGTTCTAAAGAAATATTATATTTAAACACCTCCGCTTTTTTTAATACTTCTTGCATAATACACAATACATTGAGAAAAATGTGGCCGAATGGGAAAATATATGGGTGTATACCACTTGGCTTCATAGATTAGTTGCTAGAGTATTCTAATGGTAATCGGATGGCCTTGGGTTATAATATTAATAATAAATTGGAGAAATTGTATAGCGCCTGTTAAAAAAATATTTTTTGTCACTGGTGCTTAAAGATAAAAGAGTTAGGTTTTAAGGAGGGTCTTGAATGCATTAGTATCAGAAGTTGATCTAAGATAAGGTGGAAGAGAGTTCCATAATTTCGGAGCGGCAAAAGAGAAAGACCGTTCGCCAGTACGAACATGCAGCACTCTTGGGACAGATAACCTGAGAGAATTTGACTGTCTTGTGGAACGTGAAGGTAATTGTTGTGAGATTGATGAAGAAAGATAGTGTGGGGCATAGCCATATATGCATTTATGAGTGAGAAGAATAATTTTTGAAGTTTAGGCGTTTACATATCGGTAGCCAATGAGGGTCTTTAAGGATAGGTGAAGCATGATCACGAAGTTTAGTGAGACAGACAACACGTGCTGCTGAGTTCTGAAGCTTTTGTAAGGGTCTTAATTGAATAGTAGAGGTCCCATACAATAAAGAGTTACAGAAATCAATTTTAGAGGTGATGAAAGCATGGACAAGTACTTCAGCAGCGGAGCGTGAAATGTATGGACGAATAGATCGAATTCGTCTAAGGTGAAAATATCCAGATTTACAGATAGATAAAATGTGGTTTTGAAAGGTAAACTGATTGTCAAACAGTACACCCAAATTTCGTGCTGTAGTTGACGACGGTATATTGACACCTTCTACGGATATCTGAATTGGGGGAAAAGAGTGAATGCTTCTAGATTTTGGAAATATAGTAAGTAGTTCAGTTTTGTGAGGGTTGAGCTTGAGTTTCATTGTAGTCGTCCATTGTATAATGGAAAAAATACAAGACTCTATTAAATAAAGAGTCGAGGCTATGTCAGTAGTGTTATTAAGATCAACATGTTTCCAAAGCTGTATGTCATCAGCAACAGGCCCGTAGCCAGGTCATTTCAAGGGGGGGGGGATGTTCTCTGGGCGTGGGGTCTGCCTAAGGTCCACGGTGGGGTCTGGGGCGAGGCCTCCGAAGCCAGAGCAGTTTTTGTGTTTAATGGGTCTATAAATGATGTTTTAAAGCAGTTTTGTTTTGAAAAAGATCTATGTAATAAAAAGTTGGTAATATAATAATATATTAGAAAATGTTTTCTGAGAATTGGCATGTTTAAATAACAGCGAAAGATATAAAAAAAAACCCTCATCGCATAATCAATATCAATATACTAACACATTTATTATTATTATAAAAAAAAAAGCTTCTTGACTCTCGTTTTGTACACTGAAAATAATAGTACTATTTTACTACATGGCTAAAAAAAGCACAAATATTGTCATTACTGCGGACAGGGCCATCGTTAAATTAAGTCAGAGCCCAAAATATAGCATCATATTCAATACGTTATCTGACATCATGAGAACCTAAACTTCAATAAAATTATTTGTTATTTACTAGGCCTAATTCGAAATTATTATTTTAGGATTTTAAACATAATAGGCTACATACCGTACTGATTAAAAATAGCTGAGATTTGATGCACATTTTAGAATTAATAATCGTTTTTATTATATCTTCCTGAATATTTATTGTCTGCCAAATGAAATATGAATTATATGCATCTTTACAAATACAATTTCTAAAGATGTTCGATAAATTCTACCTTACATGAAAACAAAACACGAAATTTAGCGTGTCTATTTTCATTCTAATCAATGGCGTTTGTAAACGTGCACTGACGTCATTGTCGAATTCCAGGACTTTCGACGGTAAAGGTGGCCTGCCTGCCCCGGTCCCAGGCCAACCAATAATAATTAATGTAGGATTCGAACTTTTAAACAGTCGAAACGTCTGGTTGTAAAATATTTATTGTGTGCGAT